GCTGGTTGAGCTATAGGCGCCGAGCCGAGAGGGACAATTTCAATGATGTCTTACCCTTCCATTTTTATAAAAAATCTACTTTGCTGAGCTTCTGAGAAATATCTAACAATACAACCAGGTTTGCAGGAGAAACTTCTAGATCCACTCACTCCGCAAAGTCAGTTTCAGTGATGCTTCTTATAGTTATACAAAGGCCTTAAAAAATACTGAATGAGGCAGTTTTTTCCAAATTCCTAGTTCCAGGCTTCACTTATGATTTTCACATATCCAAAACATCTCCAAAATTCGTTTTGATCCGTCCTTCTTGTTGATTGCTGTAATTGGCCTTTGATAATTTCACAAATAAAAATACCTTAAGGAGGGCCAGGCACAGTGGCTCACACCTATAATCCTAGCACTTGGGAGGCTGAGGTGGGTGGATTGCCTGAGCTCACAGGGTTTGAGACCAGCCTGAGCCAGTGCGAGACCTCATCTCTAAAAATAGCTGGGTGTTATGGTGGGCAACTGCAGTCCCAACTGCTTGGGAGGCTAAAGCAAGAGAATTGTTTGAGCCCAAGAGTTTGAGGTTGCTGTGAGCTATGATGCCACAGCACTTTACCAAGGGCAAGAAAGTGAGACTCTGTCTCAAAAAACAAAACAAAAACCTTAAGCATACAACTTAGAGAGGGGAAGGGAGGGAGTTTGGTGTGCTTTCCCCTGTAACAGGCGCAATGTAGGGGTATATGGCACACCTCCTAGGTGAAAGGTACAACAATAACTTGGACTTTACCTAATGCAAACAATGCAACCTAATTGTCTGTACCCTCATGCTAATCTGAAAAAAATGAAAAAAGGAACAAACTTAGGGTGGCACCTGTGGCTCAAAGGAGTATATGCTGGAGGTGGCAGGTTCAAACCCAGCTCTGACAAAAAAAAAAAAAGGAACAAACTTATTTGATCTATTGGCTAGTCAGTGAGATGCTTTGTGGAGATGAATTAAGGAGGAATATTAGCATCAAAATGCTGCTTCTTAAGAATCAGAAGTAAGCCCTCAGCACATTGGTTACAGTACCAGCCACATACACCAAGGGTGGCAGGTTTGAACCCAGCCCAGGCCAGCTAAACAACTGCAACCAAAAAATAGCTGGGTGTTTTGGTGGGTGCCTGTAGTCCCAGCTACTTGGGAGGCTGAGGCAGGAGAATCGCTTAAGCCAAGAGCTGGAAGTTGCTGTGAGCTGTGACGTCACAGCATTCTTCCGAGGGTAACATAGTGAGACAGAAAAAAAAAAAAAATCAGAAGTCAGTCTGGGACATTACTGAAACCCAGCTGTTAAAAGACTTTAAAATGTCATTATTTCTTGACCTTTTTAACAAAGTGAAGTGAAAATTAAAGCATGAAAACTGATTCTTCAAAAGACTTTAGTTCATTAATTAATGGGTATTGCTCTTGTCTTCTTAGCAGGATAAAATTAAAGCAAGTTTCAATTTGTACTCAAATGCAGTATGTGTGTGATTCCTCCTACCCAACTACATATTCAATATTTAAAATTTTTCTTCCTCCCGCCTGTAGCTCAAGCAGCTAAGGTACCAGCCACATACACCAGAGCTGGTGGGTTTGAATCTGGCCCAGGCCTGCCAAACAATGACTACAACCAGGTGTTGTGGCAGGCGCCTGTAGTTCCAGCTACTTGGGAGGCTGAGGCAAGAGAATCACTTAAGCCCAGGAGTTGAAGGTTGCTGTGAGCTGTGATACCATAGCACTCTACCCAAGATGACAGCTTGAGGCTCTATCTAAAAAAAGAACAAAAAAAAAAAAAACAAAAAACATTTTCTTTCTCGCCAAAGTCAGCTTTCCAAAGATAGTTTTTATCAATAATAAACATGTGGGCTCAGTATCTGTGGCTCAAGCAGCTAATACAATCATATACAACAGCCATATACCACAGAGCTGGTGGGTTCGAATCCAGCCCAGGCCTGCCAAACAATGACAACTGCAACCAAAAAAATAGCCAGGTGTTGTGGTGGCCATCTGTGGTCCCAGCTACTTGGGAGGCTGAGGCAAGAGAATCATTTAAGCTCAGCCAGGAGTTGGAGGTTGCTGTGAGCTGTGATGCCATAGTACTCTACTCAGGGCGACAGCTTGAGGCTTTGTCTCAACAATAGTAATAATAATAATAAACAACATCTGTCTCAAACAGTAACAGACCTCTGCATTTTAATTTTCTAGAAAATTCTTCAATGCTTCACTATTAGCACTCAGTAGCTTCCCCTAATCTTAATGTTATACTAACAAGTTCTCATTCTTTGTATAAATACAAACACAAACTGTTCAAAATGCAATATTCCTATCTAATGAAATCCCCATCCTCTTGTTCCTCTCCATAAAAGAGTCCTGTTTCAGGCCCTCCTCTCACCTACATTATTACTACAATGACCTTGAAACCAGTCTGATCATAATTCCCTAGATTTATTCTCCAGTTTACTACCACTATGTTCCCAAGAAATGTATGGTCTTCTGCCCCATCACTCTACCTTACACAACAATCCTTCTACACAGGACTTATATTTTGTCATTATATATTTACACGGGTTTCCTCTATTTTATTCTGAGTCCCTAGTGGGCAAAGACTAACGATTCATATTGGCCTTTCCCTACCATAGCACATAAATGGCACTCTACCAGAGTACTTTTTGGTGAATGTGTGTTCAACTCTCTAATGTTTTCAGATGACCTAATAATTTCCTCTTTGGGCTTGGTGCCTATGCTCAAATATTTTTTCTTTTTTTGAGACAGGCTCACTTTGTTGGCTGTGATACAGTGCTATGTTGTCACAGCTCACAACTACTTTATTTTTTTATTTTCAGACAGTCTCACTTTATCGCCCTCAGTAGAGTGCTATAGCGTCAGCTCACAGCAACCTCCAACTCCTGGGCTTGGGTGATTCTCTTGCCTCAGCCTCCCAAGTAGCTGGGACTACAGGTGCACGCCACAATGCCTGGCTATTTTTTGGTTATAGTTGTCATTGTCATTTGGTAGGCCCGGGCTGGATTTGAACCCACCAGCTGTGGTGTATGTGGCTGGAGCCCTAGCCATTTGAGCTATAGGCGCTGAGCCTATACTCTGAATTCTTAAAACTCAGTCTCATTTAGTGAAGAGTTAAAACCTTCCCCAATTTTAAGCTCCCTTCTGACTCAGTCCAAATGAAAAAGTTCTGAGTCATATCTATATGTTCATTTAATAACATGAAACTATTTTAAGTTATCTTACATGGCATTTTTAGCAAGTCAGATGCATAATGTGTAATGTGATATAAAAGTATCATTTATAATGACAAAACACCAAGTTGATGGGTAAAATTTTCTTGAATCCTGAAATGTAAGTAATATGGATTAATCATTAGTTATATATTCATCACATTAAAGTTACATATTCTATCACAAATGTGCCCCCCACTTTTAGTGTTTTATACTTAGACATTATATTCGACATTTTATAATGTAGTGATAATGGAGATAAAATAGTAGAAAACAGGCACTACAAGGATTTAGACAATTAAGGTAAGCTCAGAGTGACTTTTAATATGCCAATCAATGTTAATAAAACACAAGTCAAGGACAAGTGTAGACATGTCTTAAAACAAAATTAATGAGAAAACAATAGACAAATTCTATTTTTTTTTTTTTGCAACATCTGTTAGCCAGTAGTATTAGTCAAATGGCTAATTGCAGATAAAATATATTTTGTGAAAAACTTGGAATGTCAGAAGTCATTCTGGCATTTCAAAGAGCTATGTACAGTATCACCAAGATCAGTTTATATACACAAATATTGAAGAGAAACCAGATAAAACATTTAAAAACAGATTAAGAATATAATCAAGTACAAAAATGTTGGGAGGGAGGAAACATTTTAAAAAAGAGGAAAGGTTATTACCTGAAAGATTATAAAACCAGTAATAATTATACTACATTAATATAGCATGGGGGGGTGCATTTTTCCAACGCACTAGCTTCAATGTTCAAAGAAGAAAGGGCAAATAGCTGCTTTTCATCAAGAGCAGCTATACATTTCACATAATTATTTCAAAAAGAAAGCCTATTAACAACAATGATTGTTTAATGCTACAATTTTACAGCAAAGACAAAACTAAAATAGCAGCAAATTCACAAGGCAATACTTCCACAGAATTATCATCCCATGGTTCATGCAATGCCTACAAAGTGCTCCCAGTTGGATATACAAGTATAATTAATTCACAATTAAAAAGAAATATAAGATTGACACACAGGTACATGAAGGCTGAGTAGTATTGAGTCTTTTAGCATTTCCCTTTTCAAAGGGAGAATATGTTTGTAATAAAGCCCTAGAGTCCTTTGTACAGGTCACTACAGGGAAGATACCTTTTACAACGATGCAACAGCAAACTATAAGCAGCACACCACCACAGTGGTTAACCCTGGAAAAGGCTAGTGTAACATCTAACAGTGACTGACATCCTACAAAAAACAGATTTGTAAGACTAGATGAAAGTCTCATATAGCAATGGTCAAAATACAGCTTTCAACTGTAATTCACAAATCAGAGTCCTAAAAAATATTTCAGTAAAACTACTGACACCAATCAAAAAGGTAATTGCGCAGGAGACTCGCTTGAGCCCAGGAGTTGGAGGTTGCTGTGAGCTGTGATGCCACAGCACTCTACCCAGGGGGACAGCTTGAGGCTCTGTCTCAAAAAAAAAAAAAAAAAGGTAATTGCAAACTGGATTCTAGCAGTGATTTAAACCTAGCTTCCTCTTCTCACAGTTTTTTGGGGGAGGTGGGAAATAAGTAGTTCAGTATATAGTAAGGCTGACAGAGCGGTTCATTTTCTTTCCAATAAGTCGAGATGTTCTACTACTCTGGGTGGTGGACCTAGTGGCCATCCGGTCAGTGAAGAGTGCTCTTTCCTCAGCTGCAGCTTTTGCCATCTGGGCTTTCTTGAGTTCTCTAAGAACATAAAAATAAAAAACAAGAGTTGTCACCTATTCTATTTATCCTAGGAGGAGATCTCAGGAGGCCAAAGAGAAATATTACTATCACTTGAGAGATATTTGCATGCTATCATTATTCTAAGATGCCTTCAGTTAAGGAATAAACAATATAAAACTTACTTTGGAGAAAACATGAAACTTCCGACAACTAAAATTTATGAAATGATTTTATTTTATGCTTTTAAAATTAAAATATCACATACACTTGTATGCAAGAACATGAGTAATGAAGATGTTAGTAAAGACTAGGTTTAAAAAATAATTTCAAATAAAACTTGAATTTAGGCCAAATGTGGTAGGGCTCACACCTGTAATCCTAGGAGGACAAGGTGGGTGGACTGCCTGAGCTCAAGAGTTCAAGATCAGCCTGAGCAAAGCAAGACCACGTAAGCTAAAAATAGAAAAACTAGCAGGGGGCTGTGACAGGTGCCTGTGGTGCCAGCTACTCAGGAGGCTGAGGCAAGAGGATTCCTTGAACCTAGGAGTTTGCGGTTGTTGTGAACTCTGATATCACTGCACTCTACTCAGGGAACCTGAGACGCTGTCTCCAAAAAGAAAACAAACCACACTTTAATTTATATTGTGAATTAATCTTTCCATAATAGAGATGAAAGGAAAACTTCAGCTCGGCACCAGCCACATACACCTAAGGTGGTGGGTTCGAATCCAGCCCGGGGCCGCCAAACAACGATGGCTGCAAACAACAACAACAACAAAAAATAGCCGGGCATTGTGGCGGGTGCCTGTGGTCCCAGCTACTTGGGAGGCTGAGGCAGGAGACTCGCCTGAGCCCTGGAGTTGGAGGTTGCTGTGAGCTGTGATGCCACAGCACTCTACCCAGGGGGACAGCTTGAGGCTCTGTCTCAAAAAAAAAAAAAAGAAAGGAAAACTTCCTATATGTACAAACTATGATAGATATTAAACTAGTGGCCAATAAATCTTTTAATATGTAATGTAAGATTTTTATAATTTAAATAATAAATGTTAATATTTAATATAAAACCTTTCAAAGTCAGTTTTATCAGGTTAAAATAAAAATGGTAACAACAAATTCTTTTTTCTTGTTTTTTTTTTTTTTTTGATACAGTCTCACTATGTGACCCTCCATAGAGTGCTATAGTGTCACAGCTCACAGCAACCTCCAACTCTTGCCTGTAAGTGATTCTGTTGCTTCAGCCTCCAAAGTAGCTGGGACTACAGGTGCCCGCCACAATGCTTGCCTATTTTTTGTTTGCAGCCATCATTGTTGTTTTAGCAGGTCCAGGCCAGGTTCTTTGGTGTATGTAGCCAGCGCCCTACTCACTGAGCACAGGCATCGAACCAACAAATTAAAAGAATTAAGAATGCATAGGCTGGGGGTGGCGCCTGTGGCTCAGTGAGCACGGCGCTGGCCCCATATACCAAGAGTGGTGGGTTCAAACCTGGCCCTGGCCAAACCGCAACAAAAACATAGCTGGGTGTTGTGGTGAGCGCCTGTAGTCCCTGCTACTCGGGAGGCTGAGGCAAGAGAATCACCTAAGCCCAGGAGTTGGAGGTTGCTGTGAGCTGTGTGACTCTTTGCCACAGCACTCTACCAAGGGCAATAAAGTGAGACTCTGCCTCTAAAAAAAAAAAAAAAAAAATGCAGGGACTATAATCCCAGCACTCTGAGAGAGCAAGGCAGGTAAATTACTAGGAGCTCATGGGTTCAAGACCAGCCTGAGCAACAGCAAGGCCTTGTTTCTAAAAATAGCTGGCTGTTCTGGCAGGCGCCTGCAGTCCCAGCTACTTGGGAGGCTGAGGCAAGAGAATTGCTTGAGCCCACGAGTTTGAAGTTGCTGTGAGCTGTGATATCACAGCACTCTACAAAGGTGACAAAGTGAAACTGTCTCTAAAAAAAAAAGTGACCTGTGGTTTACTTAATACTTTCCAGCAATTTTTCTCTTTTTAAGAACCTGTGTCGGCTCGGCGCCTGTGGCTCAAGCGGCTAAGGCGCCAGCCACATACACCTAAGGTGGCGGGTTCGAATCCCCAGCCCGGGCCCGCCAAACAGCAATG